CTTTTGTTGTTTTAAATTTTATTCTGTTTTCACTAGTGTGTTAGATTTGTTCTCCTCTGTTATATTTCTTCTGCTTTTTTCTGTTATATTGTATTCAGTTCTGCTAGGTTTTGTTTTTTCCTGCTTTTTATTCTGTTCCATTCTGTTTATTCCATTATGTTGTTTTGTTCGCTTTATTCTATTCTATTCTTTGATTCTCTTCTGTTCACAAACTGTACAAGATAACCAAGTTTACTTCATGAGTTATGAGCCTTACTACATGAGTGTGTTTTCCCCCGTGTGCTGTAATATATCAGCATTGTTTCCTATCACACTACATGGTGTCACTTCAAACGCCTGGTGTGAAGTATAATTAGCTAAGATACTACGCTGACACAGGCACCGTCAGAGAGTGTGTGTGTGTGTGTGTGTGTGTGTGTGTGTGTGTGTGTGTGTTATAGTCCTACAGCTCTCACCTGCTCCGCAATGCTGGTGAACACACCGCACGACAGCAATTAATTATGCTTCAGCACTGCTGACAGAATCCCTATAGATATATCAGCTATTTCTGTCGCATATTCTTCAGCCCTGTCTCAAGTCATGTTAGCTTTTTTTTCTTCTATTGTCCTTATTGATTTCTCTCTCTCATCTCTACACTCCCATCTACACCTTGTTCATACACATGAGGCAGGAGCAAATACCATAAATCAGTGGTGCTTAGACCAAATACGTGTCCTTTTTTGGTTCCTACCTTTTTTATCTTCCATTAACTTATTGCATTTTGATTTCAAACCAAAAACACAAACTTTGCAAACACATACCATTAGAGAAGCCAAATGTTTTTATTATATAACTGTACTAGCTACTATAAGATCCCTATTCCAGAGTCACATGAACTATGCTAAGGAAACTCAAGCCGGTTTGTTTTATATTGCCGCATCACAACCTCTTTTACCATCTGACATAGGAAGCAAACATAACCTGTATTTAGTTTGTAGATGGCATGTTTTTGTATTTTAGGCTGAAGAATAGCATAGGTCTTCTTTAAAGCAGAGCCGAGTGACGTCTGTTAAAGTGAGGTGCTGTATGAGCTGTGGCTTTTGTTATATTTCACTGTAGCACTTGAAAGTATCTGTGACGGTCACAAATTTTACACACAGTGATACAGCAAGGTTTATAAGACCATTTAATGAGGGTTGATTGTGCATGAACAAAGCGAATTGTCCAGAAATAATGCTAAACCCTTTGTTTTAACGCTATGATAACGTGTAGGTAACATCCAGATGAGTATGTGCAAGAATAATAGCTTACAGGTTGGCCAAAAGTTGCTGTCTAAATTCTCAGTTTTGATGATGCAACATTCATTGTGCAAGTATATTGACAACTTTTACTAAGCTTTTTTTTTTTTTTTTGAATGATAATGCTCTCAAACTGGTGACAGAATAAACGTAGGCTATATACCTTATGTATTACTCACACTACAGTCTCTAAAATCCCTTGCAGTAACTTAAGGAGCCATAAATCAATAATTTCCTCTTGATCCATCACATTATTGGATTCACAGTTATTCCTCCCCATGATACCTGTAGAGTCTCTGCGCGAGATTACGACATTTTGTACGCGAATGCGCAGAGCTTTCTGATCAAAAACATGGTAATTATTCAAACTGAAGATAAAAATACACATTTAGGAGTGATTCTAATATTAATTGAGCGCATACAGTGCGTTTGGCTTTAAGCCCCCTGCACTGGCACGCTATTAAAATCCCCCATCACACAGGATGCTCACGAGTCACGAGAGCGTGAGAGCCGCGCTTAACTCACCGGACAGAATGAGATTCCTTGTTTGAAGCGCATAATATATTCCTTTCCTCTCAACGGCGGGATCGAGCTCCAGACTTACGGGGTTATTATAGAGATCTAGATCCAAATTAAATTTAGCTTTATTTGAGCGTGTGAGAGATGTGGACTCTTTCTCCATACGGTTGTATTGGAAAAGATGCTGGGCGCACCGCGGACTGAGGACCGGAGAAGCAGAAGTAGGCTGTCTGTGATACTCCCTCCCTCACAGTCTCCCCAGGGACAGGCAAATTCTGCCTGTCGTTCGCTGCAAGCTGATTGGTCGAGTAGTGCTGTCAGTCAAGAGAGGGCTCCCTCATAAGCTGGAAAGTGGGCGGGGCTATTACATCGCTCGCTTTTTACCGTCTCTGTCTTCCCTCTGCATTTTCATACTCCCACTTTATCTCTGTCTTTGCCTCGTCAACTTAATCTCTATTTGTAGTTTTCTGCGCTCTGCCCGTGAGGCTACGACTCTGATAAAGAAACGCTATTTGAATATTCAAATGCTGACGAAACTAAAAACTTTTGAAATGTTTTACTTTACATGTAATGAATCTGGAATATATGAAAGTTTAAATTTTTAGAAATTAGTTACAAAAAAATTTACTTCTGATTAATTTTCTTCTGATTTTTTTAAATGCACCTGTGTGTATATATATATATATATATATATATATATATAGCCTGTGTGTGTGTGTGTGTCTGTACCTGTTTTTCTATTCTGGTGGGGACGTAAACCTGAATACACACAGACTCATGGGGACCTAAATTGAGGTCCCCATGGGTAAACAAGCTAATAATTCACACAGAATGAAGTTTTTTGAAAATCTAAAAATGCACAAAGTTTCCTGTGAGGGGTAGGGTTGGTGTAGGGCAATAGAAAATACGGTCTGTACAGTAGAAAAACCATTACGCCTATGGAGATGGGGAATAAGGATAGCAAACCAGACGTGTGTGTGTGTGTGTGTGTGTGTGTGTGTGTATATGCATGTTGTATCATGTCGGTATCCAGTTGAAAACCACTGGACTAATTCTCAATGTATTTAAAACATTTATTGAGGCATTTTTACCCAGCTTTTCTCATTTTTTGCATAGTTTTCCAGTTTGGCCAACAGCTTTTGTGAGATATAATTGATATTGGTAGTCTTTAGATAAGTCTTTCTTAACACACATCTAACCAGGCTCTTGCATTTACTGCAAAATCCTACTTGGCAAATCAGAATATATTTTCCCAGCATGCCGTATGTAACACTTGAGATAAACACCAACAACATTCAGTCCTGCAGAAGTTATGAAAATCACAAATCAGGGCAGGCTGAGCGACAGAGCTGTTGCAGAAGAGGTGTGTGTGTATGACGGACGGAGGCTGCGCTAGAGCTGTTTGAAGATTTAACACTGCATAGGTTCTGACAGGACGCTTGAAGTGAAGCGTTTACTGAATTTTCTTCTCTTTAATCTGAAATTAGATTTTAAATAAATGAATTTTAAAAGAGAAAAGTCGCGTCAAGTGTGGTCTCAGACTTTTGGAACCTCATTGAACTATATTATAAAAACTAGAGTAAATACAGATAAACTTTATTCAATAAAAGATAACACAGAATGTCCTACCTATGTCTTGTGAGATATTCTAAAGGAACAAATTTTGTTCTTAGGTGTCTAGATTTTCAAGACATGGTGTTCAGGCTGTCACAAAGAAAGTAGGCAATTTCTGACCAAAGCGCTTGCTCAGCATTTGAGAGGCATTTGGCACCAAAGTACACACTTCAACTGTGAGAAGTCATCTTATAAGAAGCCTTACAGGGTGTGTTGCAGCTGAGAAAGCGCTCTTGCGGAAAGGCAACAAGCAAAAAAGATTACTTGTACATGAAATTCCATAAAGCATGGAGTGACAGCCAGTGGCAGAAAGTTTCAGACGTGGGTGGGATGAGAAGTTTGCAGTCTCCTGGAAGACGAGGTTGCGGCTCGGTCACAGTCAGGGTCATTGTGGGTAATGATGTGGGGGATCAGGTCAAAACTGATGGAACAAATACTTCTGACACTACACATGTAACACTTACAGAGACCTGACCTCAAAATAAAAGCTATGTGGGATCAGTTTCACTAAGAGAAAGCCTGGAAATATTAGGGAACTTGGGATTGCCAGGCCTGAAAAAGTCATGGAAATAATTGTATTCCTTTTGCAATAAATTGTGCTTTGTGCCATTTATCATGAATATTATGTTTGAAAATTAGCATTGTGTATATAGATCAATAATTTCATATGGTTTTGAACAGTGTTATCTTATATTATTTATATCTTATAGTATTTATTAATATAGTTTTTGTTTTTTATATTTTCAGTTTTCATTTTAGTAATTCTAGTATGTACTTTCGCCATTTTTCCATTTATTCAATTATATTTAACTTTATTTTAATTTCAGTTTCAGTATTTTTATTACCTTAAATAGTTATACTTATTAACTCTATTTTATTCCAGTTAGTTGCCAAGACAATATTGCTCATTTTCAAAGAAGTTTTCTTCTAAATTGTTTGTGTAATAGTGCGTTTTCTTCATCTAATATTTATGTTTTGATTTATTTTAGCTTTATTTCAGTTAAGAAAAACAATTTTAATAGTCGGTCAACACTGGTTTTTAAAAATCTTTATTCAGTGACTTTATAGGTAATAACATTTACTTTAGGAAATATTATAAAGTTAAAAATAATCAAATAGATCAAGATATAAAAAGTCACACTATGAGATATAAAATTGCAATTACAGAACATAAATTTGCTAGACATAAAGTCACATGACACATGAAGTTGAAAATATGAGAAATAAAGTTGCAATTTTTTTCCCCCCGCAGAAACTCTTCTGTAACAAAAACAGCCAAAATTCATAGACGAGTTAAGATTCAAGAAGTCTTTTCCTTTTCGTACATCTAAAGCTTTAGGCGTTGTCCCAAATGAGTACACTAAGTTAATCAAGTGAAATATGATCTAATAATATTGCGCCCTGAAAATCAAGAGTTTTGACATTTCATCGAGTCTTTTCTTGACTTGCTCCAGCAGATAAGACCCATCTGGTCTCGGAAAACTGTCCCTAATGCCCCATAATCCACTGAGCTCAGCAGCATTCTCAAATAAACAACAATATGCAAATGTTGTAGTCGTACCATCTCATATCTGCTCACTCCTTCTACAGGAGCCCGAAGGACCCTCGGCAGAAGATCATCAAACGGGTCATTGGGATCGAGGGGGACTTCATCAAGTAAGTTTGTCCCAAATGAAGTTGTGAATGACGTTTGATGGCATCATGATTGATTCTTGGGTTCTAATGGCAGAACATGTTTTGTTGCCTGAAAAGTGTTTACTCAGATCAACAGGCCTTTGTAGCACCCCTAGAAGGATCTGTTTGAGCTTATTAAACGTGCCAATTCAGGCTCGGCCCTCTTTAAATGCTTGTATCGCACAAATGCACCATTTAGCCGTAAGTGTCATTAAACATTAATGTCTCATCAAACCATTCACGGCCAAAAGCATTACATCTCAAGGTGATCTTGGGATTGGGTTGAGGAAATCCCAGGCCTGATGACTTCTCGAGTTTGATTTCGAGATGATTCATATGAAGAGGAAGTTAATTTTGTTCTGTGATGGCTGATGAAGAAAAGCTGCTATTAAAAATCTGAAATTTCCTTCACGCTCTCGCTCTAAAGCGCTCACAGCACCGCCTGCAATGGATATGAGCTATTGCTGTGTCAGAAAGTCATCTTAAATATAAAACAAAGACTGCAGCAGCTGTGCAAACATTAATTATTGATCTTAGATTTAGAGAGCGGGCCAAGAGCCAAATGCAGGATTGGTGAATACACATAGCTGGTCAACTGTAACATAAACAGCGAGAAATGAAAAATAGCCTGATGTTTTCCTGCATTCAAAGCAGCCAGAATCCATTACTGTGTTAATGCATGATTTTTTTTTCTATTATCAGAACGCTGGGATATAAAAACCGTTATGTAAGAGTTCCAGATGGACATCTGTGGATCGAGGGGGACCATCACGGACACAGTTTCGACAGCAACACATTTGGACCGGTAATCAATGAATTGGTGCTTACTAAGGACAAAATCTCATAGGCATACACTGACACACATTAAGACTTAGGAATGACATGACATAAACACTTTAGCAGAACCATAGCAACAAGTCGGCTAGTTTTGCATAACTCATATTCTCTTCATTTTTTTATATTTAAAAAAGAACATGTATTCCAAAACATTTCAATATTTTAAACATTTTGAACACAATGGATGATTTGATTTTGTAGGTTTTGCTTTTTTTTAGCTATTAGTTTGTTTTTTTCAATTGTTAGTTCAATTTTAGTAATTTGCTTAACTGATATTATTAGGGAGTTTTGTAAATTGAAATGGAAAAACAGTTAAAAAAAAAAGATTACTCAAAAATCTAAATATTAGATTAAACTATTACTACTTTAAATCTATGTTTTTTTATGCATGTTACAACACCAATAAGACTTTTTAGGAATGACATGACATAAACACTTTAGCAGAACCATAGCAACAACCAACAGCACCCTAGAATCATGTCGGCTAGTTTTGCATAACTCATATTCTCTTCATTTTTTTATATTTTATATTCCAAAACATTTTAATATTTTAAACATTTTGAACACAATGGATGATTTGATTTTGTAGGTTTTGCTTTTTTTTTTTGCTATTAGTTTGTTTTTTTCAATTGTTAGTTCAATTTTAGTAATTTGCTTAACTGATATTATTAGGGAGTTTTGTAAATTGAAATGAAAAAACTGTTAAAAAAAAAAGATTACTCAAAAATCTAAATATTAGATTAAACTATTACTACTTTAAATCTATGTTTTTTTATGCATGTTACAACACCAATAAGACTTTCAAAATTACATCAAAGTTTAAAAATAATATTTATATTGTCAAATGTTATTAAAATTATAAATGTAATTAATGTTTTATATACACATGCCATTCAAAAAATTGGTATGGTTATTTTGAATTTTTTGGAAGAAATTAATGTTTTTCAGCAAGGATGCACTAAATTAAACAAAAGTGATGGTAAAGACATTGATAATGTTACAAAGGATTTCTATTTCTTAAATAGTTTTATATATATATATATTTGCTTATTTCATGAAAAATGTGTCACATTTAAATAAATACTATGAATTTTTTTTTTACATTTTTACTGTTTTTTTAGACAGTAGTTTTTTAATCAAAATAATATAAAAAAAATATGAAGCAGGATTATGTGATACTGAAGACTGGAGTAATGGCTGCTGAAAATTCAGCTTTATCATCACAGAAATTATTTACATTTTAAAATGTATTCAAATAGAAAACAGGTGTTTTAAATTAGAATAATATTTCACAGTTGTACTGATTTTCTGCTGTTTTCAATTAAATAAATGCAGCTTTGATGAGCTTCTTTCAAAAACATGAAAAATCTCACCGGCCCCAAACTTTTAAATGGTAGTGGAAATAACATATATTAAAAAACTATTTTCAAAAATTAGATTTCATTATTGACTATAGCAGGTAAAGATGCAAAATAAAAAATCAGTTTGTATTTATTTTCAATTTCAAACTAAGATAGCCTATTACTAGTCAACTACAGTACAAAACAAGCATCCAGCCAGTCATTTTCTCAGGCATGTCTCTAGATGCTATACATTTGTCTGATCCCACACGTGACCGATGGAAACTGTCTTTCAGGCTGCAGTTTCAAAGGATCTTTTCTGGAAGTCACCACCGTAGGCAGATTGCGCCACAAATAGACTTGTTTATAAAAAATTCAACAAACACCGCCAAAGATTTCCGCTTTCTGGGGACTTTGTTAACAGCCTTGACGCACTCGAATGCCCCCGCCTGTAATGTATAGAGATTGAGGTATTATTGGTTCTTTGAAGAAGCTTCTTTGCTGCACGGCTCCTCAGATACATTATTAAACACAGCAGTGATTCTTTCTACCATCTCAGCTCAGACTGTGACACGACTTGCTACAATCATTCGCAATACGTCAAGATGTGTTGCTCAGATTCAGCCTTGAAATGGTTTTAAATGTTGGGATTTGCTTGCTTGGACTGAGAAAGAAAAACAAATCGTCCTGTCCATTTAGTCACTGACTTCCTTCAGTTTTGATGGTTTTGCACCGGCTGAGGTTTTCGAGTGTTCGTCCTCAGGAGGATTTTTAATGATGTTTCTTGTCAGAAAGCAAATGAATATGTTTCTCACTGAACCACATACTTCCTAGGTCTCTTTTATTATTGTTTCACATCCATTACCCAAAACGCTTTTGGTTTTCCCCAGAAACCAGGCTTGAAAAACGCAATGGAGGGGTGCGAGATAGATTTGGCGAAAAATCATCAGGTCATATATCACTAAGCAAATATTCTCGCTGGATGTTTCAGGCAATTGCTTTCACTTTTGTCAGTACAGACTGCGCCGTTACCTTGACTTGATGTAGGCCTATTATGCAGCAAGATGTGTGTGTTTACGTGCGTGCATGGAGGAAATAAACATGTCCTTTTCAAGGCAACATTTAAATCTTTCTGAGAATTTTAAATTGATATTTAATGCTGCAAAGGCTTCTAATATTGTTGTTCGAAATATTTGAATTGTGAAATAATGACAATACTCCAGCATTTTACAAAGCACTGATTGAAAGTCAGGTCACAATATCCTGACTGTCTGAGACCTTGTGTTTATTTTGCCCACAAAACACTGCAAAATGTCACACGGATTTGACTCAGACATCCAATTTGTGGGCTTAAAGGGATAGTTCAGCTAAAAATAAAAATTCTGTCATCATTTAACTCATTTAGTTCAGAACCTCTTCTGAACATCATTTTGTTACAATCCTGTAGGACAAACAAAATGTCATTTTGGACCCCATTGACTTTCATTGTATGGACAAAACCATTGTGTTCCACTGAAGGGAAAAAAAGCCATACAGTTTTGGAATGACATTTTGGGGTGAACTAAAGACTGTACCAGGGTTAATATTTTTAACTAAAACTATTTTTTTAAATTTATTACTTGACATCAAAGAATCCTGAAGAAAGTATCACAGTTTCCAAAAAAATATTTGGAAACACAACTGTTGCCAACATTGATAATTCTAATAATAAATCAGCATATTAGAATGATTTCTGAAGGATCTTGTGACACTTTATACTGGAGTAATGACTGATGGAAATTCAGCTTTAATCACAGAAATACATTATATTTCAAAGTATATTCCAAAAGAGGACGATATCCGCTTCGTCATGCCTGGAGCTGATCCGTGCTGATCACTGAAGAAATACATTAACTTCGTGCTGTAGATCGCCAGATCGGCTTTCACCGTGGACGAAGCGGAGTCCAGCCCGGGGTCGTCACATGTGGTTGCCACAAGCCCGCCGGCCGCGCCGTTCTCAAGCTCACCCGCCTCTTCTCACTCTAGCCCACCGTGTGTTTCGTTGTGAAATGAAACTACTTTGTTTGGCCTTCCAAAAGAGGACACAACTAGAAATCAGTGGTTAAGTTGTATTTACAACACTGTTCCAGAACACTTCAACCCAAATATTCAGATGTGTGCAGCGCATTTTATGGAGGACTGTTTCCTGATCCTGGTAGAGTAGACTACAATGCTGGCTGTTCTGACTCACAGACTGTAAGTACGTTTTTCATATTTAAAGAATTTGCCACTGATGATTCAAATGCGAGTTTTGAGCAGTGTAACGTTAGAGTAGCAGTGGAGTAGTGTAGTGTAGTCACACAAAAAATATGCATGTTTGTAATAAATATGTATGTCCTCAATCCATAATATTGCTTTTTCCAGCGAAAAAGTCGTCTCGTCTGAATCGGGAGAGAAAAATGCACAGATCAAGCACAGAAGCAACAATGATTTAATGATTTTAAAATGATTTAATGATGGATTATTTATTACAAACACACAGCTTTTTACTTCACAAGATTTTAGTTGCTGGACTGGAGTCATGTGGATAACTTGTGTAATATTGTGATGTTTTTATCAGCTGTTTGGACTCTCATTCTGACGGCACACATTCACTGCAGAGGATCCATTGCTGAGCAAGTGATGTAATGCTAAATCTGTTGCGATGAGAAACAAACTCACTTACATCTTGGATGACCTGAGGGTGATCACATCACATGTTTACTTTGGGGTGTACTGTTACTTTAAACTCACACATAAACTCTTTCTTGGAGTGGTCAGTCTTTATATGGCAGCTATTTACAACTTCCAATTAATGCCAATATACTCAAGTCAAATGCTTTTGCTTATGTTCTTCTCAATGTCATATCTGGCACATCCATTCATAGTATTTTCATATGCACAAATCCAATGTGAAAGCACAAATGGCTGCAATTTTATATTGATCTCATGCTGCCTAAGATAGATTTGTGCTTAAATGCTATAGCTATGAATTTTCCGATTGCTCTAAGACAGGCTTCCTTGAGGGGGTCGAACATCATGCAAGACTAAACTCGATAGGATTTAATGTGAGTGGCCACAGGTCAATACGGATATTCGCATAAGGCTGTGATGAGTTCAATGGCTGTCAAACATAAATCAACACAGACAGCCCTAGAGCTAAAGTACGCTGGGGAATAGGCACAAATCTTAGGATACTGGAGATAATGGAGCCGCAGCCAAGCAGGGCCTGAAGATCCTTGATTTGAAACGGTGCGTGTGTGTGTGTACGACAGGAACGTGTTTTTCACGTCTGACACTCTGCATTCGCTTCCCATTCGGAGTAAATAAGATGTCTTGCATTGGTGACGAAGCATGATTTCGATATCAAGCTTTTAATCTTCTCTAGAAGGACACGGGGAACGAGCATGCCATAGCAGCATATTTCAGTTCCCACAAAGCTATTCAGAGGGGAAGCAATTTCTCATTGAACATGACAACCACATTACATACCCACAAGAGAAAATTGAAGCCCCAAATTGAATTTACCATACAGAATCACAGAGATGTGCCCTTCGGATGTTGATGTAAATGCAAGCTGAATTGTGTATCTTTCGCATGAAGCTGTTTTGTACTGGAAATACTCGCATCATGTGTTTTTTATGTTTAAATGGGGTTATGTTGCATTCCAGTCAACTCAGAACTTGGAAGAGAAGAAACTGTTGAAGAAAGTCATTATTTTTGTTTTCTTTGCGCACAGAAAGTATTCTCGTAGCTTCATAAAATTACGGTTGAACCACTGATGTCACATGGACTATTTTAACAATGTCCTTAATACCTTTCTGGGCCTTGAACGAATCAGTTGCGTTGCTGCCTATGCAGGGTCAGAAAGCTCTCGGATTTAATCAAAAATATCTTCATTTGTGTTCCAAAGATGAACACAAATGAATCAGCCTTGCTGATTTGGAACGACAGGAAGGTGAGTAATTAATGACAGAATTTTCATTTTGGGTGAACTATCCCTTTAAATCTAAAGAAAAATGAAGATTAAACATAATTTTTCTTAAGATTAAGGTGGATGGGGACATGGACAGTAGTAATCCCTAATCACTTTCATTGTATAAAAATATAACAGCTTGTTCACTTTGAAATATATATATATCTTCTGTTCCACAGAAGAATTCGAATCATACAGGTTTGGAACGACATGAGGGTGAGTAAATAAAGATTTTTTATTTTGGGGTGAACTGTCCCTTTAAATTCCCATTTCGTAGATATTGAATTTTGTCATGCCATATGTTCAGGTTAGAATGCCAAATTGGTTTTATTATATATATATATTTGTCACCAGAATATGCTCAAAAATAGACAAAGCCACAAAGCTCAGTTATATGTGAGGCACAGACACAGTACTACAGGGAATATGTTTTATATTTACTGTGCAGCTGTGCTTGGTACAGGAATATAAAGGACTCTATCTTTACCTTAATTTTAAATATTCATATTCAAAGTCAATGCATAAAGTTGTGTCAGATTGAAGGAACAAATTATGCAAAGGCCAGATAAGGATAATCTTTTCTCAGCCCTCAGTGTCACCGCATTATGTAATTTTAAAATGATAACAGTTCTTAATACCAGGTAAGACTGTTGAAAACAGTTGTGTTGCTTAATAGTTCTGTGGAAACTGTGATATTAATATTAAAAAAATAATAAAAATAATACTTCAGCAAGGATGCATTAAATTAACCAAAGTAACAGTAAAGACATGTTGCAAAAAGTATTTCAAATAAATGCCTTTCTTTTGAACTTTCTATTCATGAAAAAATATGGAAAACCTATCATGGTTTCCTTAAAAATATGAAGCAGCACAACTAGTTTTTAGCAGTGATAATAACAAAAAATATAAAAAACAAATATATTATGGCATTATCTGAGAAAGGCATTAATTTACATTGAATCTATAGTTATAGATTAGATCAATGTAACTAGTATAGTGGTTTTACCTGTGGTTACTATATGATCAGTTTTGGGGAATTTTACTTTTAAAAGCAATTGCGTTACTCCCTAAAAAAAGTAACTAATTACTTTTAGTTACTTTTTATGGAAAGTAATGTTACATTACTTTTGCATTACTTTTTCTCATCTGACTTGGCTTCGTTTTTCTCTCTTCAGAAACAAACAAATAAAAAAAGAAACACAAAAACGATATGTTGTCTAAAGTCATATTTGCTTATTAGTGTGGTTGAATTGGATTATCAAAGGTCAGCAGCAAAGACATTGATTAATCAAATGTTTACATAACGGATAATTGTGTTATTTAGCCTAACATTTAGTTATTGCAGGTTTGTGTCATATTCTGAGTTTGCATTATAGCCTACGGTTTTAATTCATTCTGAGAGAACCTAAAATAAAAAGGCAGAGGGTTGCTTTTTCCAGCTCACTATTCACTCGTGTGGTGGCAACAGGCTGCAGAATCAGACTAACCCAATTAAAAAAGCGTCCTCGGCTCAGGGCCTCAAGGCAGCTTGCAGTTGTGTGGTTTCACTGATAAGCAACACGGAGCAAAGAAGCCACAGTATTATTACCTGGCTTTTGTGCTGACACCCCCTTAAGGCCTCAGTAATGGCAGCCACAACAGGACATTTGCAATAAGCTCATTAACTGATTCAGCATGGATGTGGCTTTTTGTGTGCTATCAATGCACCCTGCACCTTCTTGTCTGGACCCTAAAGGCTATTTTAGAAAACAGGTCATTGTAATAGTATATTGCAAATTAGTGGATTCTGATGGTTATCTCGGGTGTGGAGTCAACCTGAGAGAAATCTGAGAAGTTTTCTTTCATCCCGATCGAGGGTGAGAAACTTCTGTACTTTCATGGCAATTAAAGTGCAAGAGAAATGACAAACGCTGCTTTTACAGAGGTGTAAATGTAGGCAAAATTGAAGCAAAATGTTGGGATAATGATTGATGTATATTCTTTTAACGGCAGATTCATCTTTTAGAGCCTCACTATAAGAAGCAGTTTGCTAGCAATGCCACCTAAAGCTCAACATAATGAAACAGCGCCATCTTGAGGCTAAATAAATATTTCAAGGGTGTTTTTAGTAACATTCTTACATTTCAAACCATTGAATTTTTTTTTACCACTCTCCTGCTTAATCCTGTTTGTTTTCTTTTTTGGAAGGAACATGATATTAAAAGTTGGCAGAACACCTTAGCTACCAGATGGACATGCCAGCTAAAAAGGATAGTTCACTCAAAAATGAAAATGAAGTCATGTACTCACCCCTTGTGTTGTTCTATGCCATATGCGCTTCTTTATATTTCAGACCACAAACGGAGAAATTCAAAGAAATGTCCCACTCGCGAAAGCTTTTATTAAAGCTTTTTAAAATTTACATTACTGTTTGTTCAACCAGTACTGTAACAACATGGTTTGCTTACTGAAAAGACATGCGTACTACAATAATGGTGTATATTTATGAGTCTGTTTCTTTACATGCACTTATGTTTTGCATTGCAGAATTTACGTAATACATGTTTACAAAATGCAATTTAAATTTTCTCTTGTGCAGAGTCTGTAAATAATAATAATAATAATAAAAAGTAATAACAGCATCCTTGTAATTAAAAGATACATATTTATTTTCTTTATGACAAGTATGTTCAGTAAGTGCACAGTTATTGTATTTAAAAATGTTTCCAAGATGATGCAGAAAAGGAGTTACAATTCTGCGGGGAGTAAAATGTGTATTTCTAGAAGAAATGTAGTAATTTATTCATTAGTTAATTTTAAGTAATTCAATTATGATCCTCCTTTTTAACTGAAATTGATCGGTGTCGTTGTCTGTGTAAACACTGAGATTTTTCCATAAACCATCTCACAGAAACATTTGACCCACCGGTTGAGTTTGAGTACCACATTAGCGACCGCTATTCCAACACATTTGCGTGATGTGATAGTGGTTATTATGTAATTGTGATAAAAGAACAGACAAGTGCACTCAGACTCTTTCCTAACAGTTATATAACACTAATGAGGCAAATCTGTGGGAAACCCAATGCAAGCGAGTTGGCTGCTTTTATCCAGATTTTCAAACTGGAGAGGAGACATCTGGAGTTGATGGTTACAGTGCATCAACAACAGATAACGTCAAGACTGCTTGTTTGCATTACAAAAGCCTTGACTTCATTAAACCATTGGCTAATGCTTGCACAGATTCCGCTCATTGTTGCATGCAATGAAATGGGCGACGTCTTGACTTCAGGCTTTTGTTTCTCAGTGATGAGTTTCTTGGCTTTAATTTAAACAGTTTGATTGTTAATTTGTGCAGGATTTCAACTCAATGCACGAATGTCTTAAATTACTCTAATTGTAATGTAATAAATATGCCAAATCAAATTTCGGGATCAGTAATGGTGTCAGACGTGCAGTATGAGAGACCACAGGATAGTGGAAAAAGTCAAAATGACACAATTAAAATTTTTGAGCACACTATTCCTTTAGAGGTCAGAAATTGATCTGTAGCAGTTATAACGACAGGGTGTGTGAAAATAATTGTGTAGCTGATTTTTTTGAAGTTGCAGATTAATAAAACATGACATATAGTCTGCCTTAAGTCAGCTGTGATTTAAAACATGCAAAGCTGCAAACATAAAACGCTGCAAAGTTATTCTGCCAAACAATGACTTTTTTTAACTTGGGACACAGAGTATAGATTGTGTCACATGTAGAGAATAGTGCTTACAAATTTCAACATTTCTTTTCTATTGCATTTCAGCTGAAAGGAAAAATGGCCTCTGCTGCAAAATATAACATGAAATCTCAAAATAAAGCATTTAAAGCTATTTTGTAAATCGGGGCGCTAGATTTTTGAGAATGTTTGTTTGCTTGTAAAGAAAACTGAAAAAATGTGTTTGCCACGCCCACTATGAGATTTCATTGATCCGTAGCTATTTTTGTAAACTGAATAGCTAGATTTTTGAGGGGGGTTTTTTTCCTTCTCTTGAAAAGTTGTTAGCCACGCCCACTGTGAAATTTCATTGGTCCAGAGCTATTTTGGTAAACGTGGATGGCTAGACTTTTGAGTGTTTTTTTTTCCTCCTGAAAAAGTTGTTAGCCACGCCCACTGTGAAATTTAATTGGTCCAGACCTATTTTTGTAAATGTAGCAGGCAGCTAGATTTTTGAGTCTTTTTTTCCAGAATAAGTTTTTTTTTCTCCCGAAAAAGTTGTGGTAGCCACGCCACAATTTTCACATTTTCACAAATTTCATTGTGAAATTTCATTGGTCCAGATTCCAGAATACCGCTCCGCAGTTTACATTTGCATTTATATTTTCCCAAATGGCAAACTGTATATCCCCACACAAACAGTAAATGAAAACTTCAGAGAGTGAAAACACTGATAATACATATTTATATACATACACATTTATACAAATTCAGAACACCCATACCCGTGTCTTTTGTCTGATTTTATCATCTCGTTTTCATTTTCTTTTCTTTTTTTTGTGGACTATTCATTTTTTAATTGTAATTTTAATACACGAAGACAATAGGCCACGAATGCAACATAAAAAAATCCACTTTGAGAGAGAGAGAGAGAGAGACACACAATGATATCCACATTTATGAGAGCACATAAAACCAGCAATGCGCTCTCAGAAACTGGTTATCTGGACATGATATGAAGATATTTGGGAGCCTACAATGTCCTGTCTAAGAGCTGCTAGAAAACAACTATAGTCTCAAGCGAGAACTGCAATTTCTTGCACGCACCTCTTGGTGGATTGCTTCATGAGCAATGCAAACTCTTTTCATATATATTTTATGTCTATTCCTTGTAGCAGCTGTTAATTTGAATTAAAGGATGTACAGAACCTGATTTTTTTTCCACTGACGAATTGTAATTTTAATACACGAAGACAATAGGCCACGAATGCAACATAAAAAAATCCACTTTGAGAGAGAGAGAGAGAGAGAGACACAATGATATCCACATTTATGAGAGCACATAAAACCAGCAATGCGCTCTCAGAAACTGGTTATCTGGACATGATATGAAGATATTTGGGAGCCTACAATGTCCTGTCTAAGAGCTGCTAGAAAACAACTATAGTCTCATTAAGCGAGAACTGCAATTTCTTGCACGCACCTCTTGGTGGATTGCTTCATGAGCAATGCAAACTCTTTTCATATATATTTTATGTCTATTCCTTGTAGCAGCTGTTAATTTGAATTAAAGGATGTACAGAACCTGATTTTTTTTCCACTGACGAAGCGTCAGGTGTGACATCTATAAATGTTTATGTCATGCTCTTGAAGGTGTCCTATAAGTTTTTGGTAAAGGGGAAGGGTCATCCAATGAAGTATAACCAGTGCAAGACGCTACCTAAACACAGAATAGATCGAAGGTCTTAATGCTGAGTGCAGTTTAAGTAGCATAACACTTTTTTTTTAATTGTTTAACAACAGTTTGGCATTCAGTTATGTTTATATAGCACCACCCATTGATCAGGTTAACATTCTAAATCTGTATTTACTCAACCATGATGACATATCAAGAGAACGAAATTAAAATTGCATTCACGACTCAACTAACACTGCATATTTTCAATGCTGCACCAGTATTAAGACTACAGACTGTTACAGGGTCTTAGAGGGCTCCGGTTTAGTTCAGGTGAGAGGTGAGGCCAGAGAGACAGTGGAGGTTGGAGTGGAGCTGGAGGGTTCGATCATGGCCAGTTTGGTTCTGGAGGTCCAAAGCAGGGTCCAGGGAACTGCAGCTCCACACTGACTCACCATCCCAGGCTCCCACTAAAACCCAAAAAGATTGACACATGTGAATCAAATCATTTTCAGAAAATGATTTAATACTTGTAATTAAACATTTGAACTTAAGTGTAAATATTGTTTAAAATAATGACAATGGAATAGATTTTAGATTACAAATTCTAATAATTGGCATTAATTACATGTAATGATGATTAATCAAATTTATTACAAAAGATCTGCCTGATATTTGTAATATCAAATAATATTTAAACAAAATCATAATATTAGAATAATATTTGGTTGAATTTATTATTATGGTTTTTGTGTGCAGGTTGGGGATGATTCAACTAACATTTTTTTATTGCGTTAGTTTATTTATATATATATATATATATATATATATATACTGTATATATACAGGGCTCGCAAAATCGCTAGCCCGACGTCCCGGGGCTATTGTGTTTTCCAGTCAGGCTACCAAAATGTATCACCACTCTGCCCGACGGGCTATCTTAAATGCAGATCTCCCGCGGGTCCTTAAAAACTCAAACTTAAGGCCATAAAAAGTTTTAAATAAGTTAAATGGTATAAGAAATGTCTTAATTATAATTTCAAGAGGGCTTACAGTTGGGGACGGAAAGACAAGAGTAGTGATACGGCTGGATTAAACTTCAAAAGGCAATGATGTCATTGAATAAATATGAGCGCTGCACGTTTCAAGTCAAAACGCGGCGCGGATGTCTTTATTTGAATGTATCTGAAGGGAACCGACTGTGTTGTTGTTGTTGGCATTTTAATTTCATTTTACTTATAATTCCTGATAAAGCAGTGTTTATAAGCGAGGAACTGCTTTGTGTACAGCCGTTACCAAGGAAACCACAATATTTCAGCGCTCCTAAAGCGCCACCTCATGGCAGAGAATGAATTTGCATTTCCAACAAGCCTTTCTTGCTGTTTATGGTCAGATCAATACAAATATCAACTCATGTTTTTACGCAGCAAACATGTAGAGTTGTAAATGAGAAAGAAGTTAACGTGCCTTCTAAAAATCTAAACAATTAAGAGAATCTATGGGGTATTGTCAAGAGGAAGATGAGAGACACCAGACCCAACAATGCAGATGACCTGAAGGCCGCTATCAAAGCAACCTGGGCTTCCATTACACCTGAGCAGTGCCACAGGCTGATTGTCTCCATGCCACGCCGCACTGATGCAGTAATTCATGCAAAAGGAGGCCCAACCAAGTATTGAGTACATGTACAGTAAATGAACATACTTTCCAGAAGGCCAACAATTCACTAAAAATGTTTTTTTATTGGTCTTATGAAGTATTCTAATTTGTTGAGATTGAAATTGAATTGAATTGGTGGGTTTTTATGAAATGTGAGCCAAAATCATCACAATTAAAAGAACCAAAGACTTAAACTACTTCAGTCTGTGTGCATTGAATTTATTTAATACACGA